AGGTGTTGTTGAAGATGACTTGGCTGCTATTGAGCCAGGTCCTCCCTGTGTGTCAAGGTGGAACACCTTATGGAGTAGAATCCTCAGGCTGTATGTAGCAACATCAAGACCCAGCCATGAGTTGAAAAGAATTGTCATTACAATAATAAAGTTCAGTGCTCCAATGTGGTTTTACATCAAGATACACCCTTACGTAACACACGGCTCAAGGAACGTATTCCAGTCCCTGCTATATATGAAACACCTGAATAGTGAGGAGGAGACGATAGTGAAGAAGGCTGTCCAGAGAAATGCATACTTCGCCCACACAGATCAACTTCTTCTTGGTATGTGTGCAGATGAGGACATGACTGTTAGAGAAAAAGCTGTCTCAATGATAAGAAAAATTAGAGAGGAGAATCAGCAAAAGGAAGAATGCACTGGCAGATCTGAAGAGGAGGAGGAAGATTCTGATGCTGCTGTTGACGAGAATTTGTTAAACTATACTGATGAGGAGGGTAAAGATGGAGATGGGAATGAGGATGTGCCTCCTGTAGTCAACATGAGAAAGGTGGTGACTCCGAAACTAAAGTGGCAAGCAAAAAACTATCATTCCATGATTAACTGGAGGAATGAACTCAAGACTGAGCCTCCATACATTGCTTCTCTGTCAAATGTACAGGTTACTGACATTCTTGAGACACCATTAGTGGTGCCCAAGTGGCCAAACAGCACTCAGGCGGTCGAGAGAGGCATAAAAGTGATGACTGAAGCTTGCACTGAAGTGACGGGATACGAATCGAGAGATGGATATATTAGGCAAAGATTATTGTCTAGGAAAATGATGCCAAGGTTCCGCACAAAAAAGAATTTCAATATGAACTTGTAATGATTTTCTATACGGTGTACCTGTAAAATAACATGTGAATTAAATCGATGTCACCCATGTAAAATTTATCATTATCCTGGAAAACATTAAATGACACCTAATTTTTGGTATACACTAAAAGTTGACAAAAAGTCGTTCGCGATGCGGCAGGGTAAGTATGCATGAAATGGCATGAAATTTTGCACAGGTGTTTGTTACAGCCATACAAACGATGCCTGAAAAGTGCAGCCTGCAACTCAAATAAAAGTGTTTTTTCCCTGCCCCCTATAGTACAGTACATCCATCTTTCCTCACACAGCCAAACTATGGAATGTTCTGCCTTCTTCTGTGTTTCCACACTCATACAATCTGTCTCACTTCAGAAAGATGGTTTTCCGGCAACTTCGTGGTGTAGATTAATAAAATCTTTTCTTTTCTAATTTTAATTTCTTTTTACTCTTATTTTTTGCCCCCTAGGCCCCATTGTGGGTCGATGACCTGTACCCGGGTGGGCTATACCCCGTAAAAAAAAAAAAAAAAGTTTGTCCGCTTCCATGGGGAGAGTGCATCGGCTGATGTCATAGCAGCAAAAAAATATCTACCTGTCTTTAAAACTCTTGTAAAAGAGGGTGGTCATTGCCGAGACCAGATTTTCAATTGTGACCAAACTAGCATTTTCTGAAAGCGCTCACCTAAGACCACTTTCATTACCAAGGGGTGTAAAGACTTCAAAGGACAGGATTACAGTTTTATTCACAGCTAATGCAAGTGGAGATTTCTTGATGAAATCCCTGGTTGTAATAATTATAAATAATAATAATAATTAACGGTTTATTGAAAGAGCTTGGCAGCCAGAAGGCTGAAAATATACAGTTACATATTTGGGGAATGGGTTTCGAATTACAAATAATATACAAGTAACATAAGTGATACAAATAAGTTATATAATAACTAGATGGGGAAAAGCTCAAACTACAGGGCATTTCAACATAGTGACAGTGCAAGAAGTAGTATTTACTGGGAGTGAATACACTGATTTATTACAAGTTATTGATAATTTTTACAATGGTTGGGACTGGGCTGTTCTTATAGCGATCAGTTCGTGCACGTATGGGCTGGATGCAGTTGTGGTGTCGAACAGCAATTCTCGGGCTAGGGATCTCAGGTGGTAGTAGGAGCCGGTGTCGAAGATGGTGTAGAAGCTTCTTACCAAATTTGCAGATTAGGTCGTGGTGATGGTCAGTGAGAGTCGAAAGGGTCAGTGTGTTGAGCGCTTCTTGATATGTGGAGTAGGAAGGGGAGAGAATAATCTTGCATGCCCTCTTTTGCACTTTTTCTAGGTGTTTATGTTGTGTGGCATTTAGGGAGGAAGACCAGGTAGGGGAGGCATAGGTGAGCTTGGGAAGTATGAATGTTGTGTAAACACTGAGGAGCTCGGGTTCAGGAACTCCGAGGGACTTGAGTCGGCAGAGGAGGTGGAGACAGAAACTGGACGATTTGACAACTTCCCTGACGTATGGTTTCCAATTTAGTTTGTTGTCTATGGTGACGCCGAGGAGCTTCGTGGAATCTACAACCTGGAGTGTGTTCGGACCTAAAGTAATGGAAGGAGGTGGGACAATGTCGGAGGAGAGGTTGATGTGCATAACCATGGTCTTGGTATGGTTGTTGGTGGCCCAGTTTTGGAGACTGTTCAATAAATCCTGAAGGGCGGTATAGTCGGGAGCAGAATTGTTGACTCTGACCCCAATGGTGGAGTCGTCGACATATTTCCAGCGAGCAGGGGTTTCTCTTAGGGCATCATTGATGAGCATAAGGAAGCAGAGTGGTCCCATCTTGGTGCCTTGGGGGACGCCACAGGTGAGTGACTGAAAGGTGGGGACAGCCCCTCGGAAGCGTACAGCTTGGCGTCGGTCACTGAGGAAGTCTGTAAGCCATGGTATAAGACTTCTCCGAAGCCCGAGGTCAATAGCTTTATTGATGATTATATTGTGGTCGACTAGGTCGAATGCTTTAGTGAAATCAATGAAGGCGACAGCTACAGACGTTTTTCGTTTCTCGAGATGGCGGTATATGTAATCGAGAAAGCTGACAAGACAGTGAGTGGTGGAGGAAGTTATTAACCATGCTGCCTGACCTAGAGCCTACCGTCATGCCAATATGTCGCAGCTTAATGATTATTGGACGTCTAATAAGAAAGCTTGGGTTACAACATCTTATGCACCAATTGGTTTGACAAGCACTTTGTTCGTGACGCCCAACAGTTCTACCAGAGGAAGAACATTGACTTCAAAGTGATCCTGGTGATGGATAATGCTCCGGGACACTGTTAGTTTCTAATTGGACACCACCTTAATGTACAGGTTATCTTCCTTCCTCCTAACACCACATCACTTCTGCAGCCACTTTCCACGAATTCATCAGTAACGTTAAACTGTTCTACTGTTAGTCACTCTATAATGACTTTCGTCAGCAGACAGACTCATTAGTTGAGTTACAACAAATTGACTCTCTGAAAGTGACCAGGCTCTACCAGCACCAGCTAACCACAAGGAGGAGGAGGAGGCAGAAGAGATGACCAATGACCTGGCTCCTAGCACCTCACCATCCTGCAACCGTGAAGTGGTATCAGTTTGTGATATTTGGAAGAAATATAATATTAAAAGTGCAGTGGACAGAATTGTTGAGGCATGGTATAAGATTAATGTTGCAACATTGCTACATGCATGGAAGCCTTTGTTCACTAACTCCGAGGTAAGTGGGGCAGAGCAGACCGAAGCAAGCAGGGAGAGGCGGTCCATGGCAGCAACACTAATGGACACAGTGGAGGCAGCGCGGTCAGTCCCAGCACCTGGATTTTTGGTTGTTCAAGTTGAAGATTTGCAAGAAATCATTTGTCAACATCAGCAGCAACCGACAATTGAAGAAATGGAGTGGGATGAAGAACAAGAAGAACAGCAAGCAACACAAGAGGTTGACATTACGCCGGGTGAACCTACAACACGTCATCTGATTGATGAGCTCACAAGCATCACACGTCTCAGTGAGCAGCTACAAGAATACAATAATAAATTTCATCCTCGGAACCTTATCTGCCCTGTCCTTGATAAGGTTATGGAGGAATATAAGACCTTGTACATGTCCTGTGTTAATGCTCATCAGCAGGCCTGTATTACTCGGTACTTGCGCAAAGCCCAGCCTGTTATTAATGCCTTGGCAAACATCACTTTAGGAGATGATGATGGCACCACCAATGATGATATTGAAGTGTTGGCTGACTTACTGGTGAAAGAGCTGCCTCAAGACTTTGAGGGATTTGATGTTGAGGTGTAGAGGAGGGAACAGGGAGGAAGCAGTAACCAGCCCTCCTTGCCTCAGAACCCATCAAGCAGCCCCGTCAAGCATTTCACCGACTTCATCAAGATAAGTTATTCTGCAGTATGAGTGTGTATAAATATTGTTATCAACAATATGTACAATATAAATATTTATGAATACATTACAGTAATGTCATTTTCCTGGGTGAGTTGTAGGTCATAATAGAGTGGGTTCAGGTGACACCTCAGAACCGATTAGGCTTATTTACATGTATTTCAGCGTCACTCGTTTTACAATTTTAAATTTCACGACGCTAAAACCGGTACCAATTAGTCTCGAAACTTGAGATCCTACTGTACATCATCTCTCCAACCCAAAAAGGTATCCACCATCCCCGGAATTTTCCGGATGCTGGAAATTTTTTCTCAGAATTTCTGGAAAATGTGCCTGATTTTCATCTCTCGGGCCCGTAAAAAATTCCGAGGATGGGGGATAGTTTTCTGGGTTCAAGGGATGATATAATGGGCAATTTCTGGAACTTCCAAAAACATTTTTTCGTTACCCGGAAAATTCCGGGGTTGAGGATTTTTCTCCAGCTTTGAGAGAGTTGTCTTGTTACCCAGAAATTTCTCATTCCCAATAGTGCTCTGCACCAATTGTTCCGACTAACGGAGATATCACTGTATTCATATTGGCATAAAATGATAATTGGCAACTCTTGGACAATGGCCACTCACTCACTTCCTTCCTCCTGTTGTGCATGACACACAAGCTGACATTCATTAATTATATGTCAAAGTACGAATTTAATTTATGCTCTTCTACACAATTTTAGATAATGGCTGATGTAGAGAGGGAGTTGAGCCAGGAGGCGAGAGAGAGCAGTGAAGGTGGGCGGCCCATGACCAGGGAGGAGATCCTCAGCCTCACCCTGGGTAGTGATATTGCCAGACTGATGGAGAACACTGCTGACCCTTATAGTCTACAGGTTGTTCCTTTACCATTAAATAACTTAACAGATGAATATAATAAAGTAGATGTTCTTTATTTATGTTACTGTAGCTATATTAACTCACTCATCATTATAGCTTATTGAGTTATTTTGTAATTAAAGCAAATTAAGAATTGTTTCATGGAATGTCTTGCAAGAGTGAAAGTTTTAGTGAATTGTTATTATTAAAGGTGTGTTTTTAATCTGTTGTGTGTTAGTTATGATGTATGTGTGCCACAATGTTTCTGGTTTCCCTGGGAAGCTGTTCTATTGCTGCCTGGTTCTGATCATTAGAGTATTGTACCTGATATGCGAGTCTTATTTTTTCGCCCCCCAGGCCCCGTTGTGGGTCAACGACCTGTGCCCAGGTGGGCTATTCCACAGAAGAAAAAAATTTATATCATGCTAAACAATGCATAGTTTAGTATAAAGGTTAATCCACATTAGAAATAGGGTAGATATTAACTAGAGCTCTGTTGATGTATGTACACACCATTTTGGAAGACATAAGGGCAGTGCCGTACATAATAGCTGGGGATCAACCTTGCTGTGTGACTACCAGGAGACCTGTAGTCCAGTCCAATATTTTCATCTGGTGTTTCTAGAGATTCATGAGATCTTTGATTCGCAAGGTCTGGGGTATCATTGTAGGGTTGGTGTTGAGGCAGTTTTTCATGTACAGTACTGTACTACACTATGGTGAGTTACACCTTGGGGTTAATTATTATGTATTTATATACAGTATAGTACATGTGAGCAGTAAATGGGGTCTGTTACCCAGTGAGTGAGATCAGTATGGAGTTTTGTGTGTTATGTTTTCCAGATCTGTACTTTTCCTCCCCACCAATGTGCAAATCTCTTCTGGTTAAATAAGATTTAATTTCCTTCCTTTACATTGTTGTCATTATCATATAACAAACATGAGCTTTTATCACTTGCAATTTGATAATTACATAGCCTGATGGCTACATATGTTATGGAGAGCTGCTACACTTATTTGACTTATGATTTTTTGTCATCTAAAATAGCAAACTTCTTTTCAGGTGAGGCTAATAAATGTTAAGAATTTTTATGCATTACGTGACTGCAGTTTTGTCATGAGCTTGGGATTTGGTAGGGTACCCCATATGACTTCTGTGTTTGGAATTTGGGATTTTTTTTTGGCGAGAGATTAGGCCACCCAGGCACAGGTCACTGACCCACATTGGGGCCTGGGGGGCTAAAATGTAATAATAATAATAATAATAATGTAACATAAAGTGAAATATTTTTTTCTCTTCCATCTCCTTAATTGGGTGTTGAGTATTTCTCCCTGTAATATGTGTGTTTGGACAATAGGGGAATCATTTCATCTAATATCTGGTTGTATGGCCATGTTTCATTTTCACTCTTCTGCAAAGCCTGGTAACTACTGTACAGATGCAGTAGCTACTTCACTCCGGAGCAGTTGCTCCAAGTATATAAGAGATTCATTCGTCCTAACTTGGAGTACTGCTCTCATATCTGGGGTTGCTCTTCTTCTGTCCAACTATTAGATAGGGTGGAATCAAAGGCATTTCGTCTTATTAACTCTCCTCCTTTAGTCGAAAATCTCTCTTCCCTTTCTCTTCGCCGCAATGTTGCTTCACTCTCTCTCTTTTACAGGTGCTTTAACGGGCAATGTTCGGTGGATTTGGCATCCTGTGTACCGCAGGCAAGGCTGTGGGCTCGTAACACACGTCTTGCCCACGGTGCCCACCGTTTCTCTGTGGATGTCGGTCACGAGAATAACCTGTTATAGTACCTCCTTCTTTCCTCACACAGCCAAATTGTAGAATGCTCTGCCTTCTTCTGTGTTTCCATTCTTATACAATCTGTCTCACTTTAAAAAGCTGGTTTTCCAGCATCTTCATGGTGTAGATTAATACAGTATAACCTTTTTCTTCTCTATTTTCAATTTCTTCCTGTTCTTTTTTTTTTCTCCCCCCAGGCCCTGTTGTGGGTCGTTTGACCTGTGCCCGGGTGGGCTAATTCCCGTAAAAAAAAAATTGTGTCCATCATTATATAATACTGAACCTCATGAAGCCCAGTTAACATTTTTCTCCCTGGTTGTGTGATGTGTTTATACATTACAACCGCAGGGCATACTGACACCACACCAAGTAGAACTGGCTAGACTGTGGCGGCAGCAACAAGCTGATGAGAGAAGGAAAAACATTAATGCCGAGGTTCAACGTAGACTGGCTAAGTCACACGTCCTTTATGAGCCGACACCATTGTTAAAGGTAATCATATATAGAATAAACAAATTCTTCATGAAACATCATCATTTTTAAAGGTAACTAACAAAATGTGCCATTGGTCTCATACAGTTGACTGAACATGAGAGTAGCTGCAGGTAGTACAGCATGCCCTTCTAATTTGCGGATTTTTAATTCGTGGTCCTTGATTATTTGCTGGTGGCACCCTGGATGTACCCAAGAATGTCTCAGGGTAGTTTTAAAGTTGCTGGCATTTTTTTGTAGCCGGGACAGTAATTTCCTTTCCTGTATTGCATATACAGCTACTCCTCGACTTATGACCACCAAGACATACGACCGCCCCAGTTGTACGAAAAACATTTCAAATTACGTATTTTCGAGTCCCGACGTTAGTGATTGCGCTGTGTACTGACAAAATTTTCGTTTGTAATTCCCTTTAAAATGTCTCGCATGCTTAAAAGTGAGAGTTTTGTGGTGCTGAAAAGAAAAAGAGACACCCATTTTAGATTTTCTATGTACTGTATTATCTTCGCATTTTCGACTTATGACCAATTCGACTTAGGACCTGGATTTGGGTCCCTAACCCCGTCATAAGTCGAGGAGTGGCTGTATGTATATATATATATATATATATATATATATATATATATATATATATATATATATATATATATATATATATATATATATATATATATATATATATATATATATATATATATATATATATACTGTATATATATACATGTACATATACACAGTAGTACCCCGATTTGCGCGGTCAATTGAACCCACAGGGTACCGTGTTAAGTGAAATCCGCGTAAATGGAACAACAGAACATATGGGATTAATTCCAATAGAGACTGGCCCGACCCCCAAACTCCACTTTTTCCGACACAATACCTATGTTCTCGTAAAAATAACATCTTAATTTTATGATGGTACATCCACACAATAAATACTTAAGAGAAATAGAGAAATACAGTCGCCAAGTTAATGTCCATTCAAATAATGGACTCAACTCCCTCCCCCTCTTCTCACACTACACTGCTGGCTCTTCCCTCTCTGAGAAATTTTGGGGGAAAACCACTAGATTTTAATAAATAATACCTCAAACTAAAGTTAGGATAATATAATTGACATTGCTGGATTCCTTGTAAGACCAGGAATATTTTGAATATAAATGTCATATATTTTGCACAAAAGATAACATATTTACTCAGAGTAAACATTATATCTAAAAATTTTGTCTAATGCAAAATATATGATGTTTATATTCAAAATGATCATCAAATTGTAAGAATTCCAGCAATGTAAATTATGTTCTGGCTGGGTAATTTGTATGAATTTTATGAGCTAAAACAAATATCTTCAGTTAATAAAAAAAAATATTCTTCAGGGCACTATCTGTCAATCAAAGTACCCCACCTTGCCTCCCCCCTCTTCCAACCGCGCCAGATGGTCGATCCGTCCCAACCCTCCCCCCCACCCC